AATGGCTTCCAACTTCGTTTCTTTCACTGCTTTGGGCTTGACCTGAATAAAATCTGTTTTGTGTTGCTTGTATGGCAGCGCGTGGGTGTGGGGGGGTTGTGGTGTGGGTATTTGTGTATATGTGGTGTGAATAGGGTGAACGCACACAACTTGGATTCTGTCTTGTCCAAGACTCAGCTATCTTTGAATATTTTGAATATGCAAAGTCACCCGAAAGAGCATTTGGGGGAGCCGGGCAGAATGTATTATTACAAGCTCTTACTAGTTTCATACTGGAAGATCATACTGTACTAACACACTGTATGATTTGCTTGTGTTTTTTTATTGTTCAGTTTTTATTTTTCCTTGTATGTATTATTGTTTTTGTTGAATTAGAGATGTAGATTAGAATGTCGTCCATGTGTGTCTGTGTATATGTCTCTTGTTTGATGCTAAAAAAATTAGCTACATGAAGGATTTTGTTTATTTAATGATTGCCATATTGCATTGCAATAAATGCCCAAACCCATCCATTTATGTAGGATTTAATCTTGTTTGAGCAGAATATTTGCATTGCAATGTGTTTAATGTACACTATATATTGTAATTAGGCATAATATCAAGTGAAGCCTCGAGTGCTTTATGTTTATCATTTCTGAGTTTGGCAGAAGAAAGTGTCCCTTGTGAAAGCTGAGACTTAGTCAGGGGTGCTTGTAACAAGAAAAACAACTCCAGAAGAACACCCAGCTAAAATGCTGCTGGTGTAATCACACACAAGTGTCGGGTTTGTGTATGTGTGTGAAAGGAGAGGACAGACACAGCGAGAAAAAAGAGTAGGAGAAAAAAACTGAGGGGAGAAAGAAAGCTTCAATTAAAAGGAGAGAAAATTGAGAGTGGGCTGTCATCATGAGCGTCTGTGTAGCATCATGTTTTTGTCGGCTAAATTGGGCTGAGTTTGCAGTGCAAACTTGTCGAATCAGCAAACATCTGTCTCCTACTATATTACTGCACACACACACACACACACACACGCACATGTACGTATGCATATACACACCCACCAGGGAGTTGATTGGAGGAAGTCTTTGATACATCAAGGAAGAGATGATATTATGTGGATTCTGGCAAAAATGTCAATGTTTTTTCAGCCTAATGAGAGTTTCCTGCACACACACACTGACACACATACTGCCCCCTGCCTCACTCCCAGTAAATCCAAATCACACACAGCAAACAAAATGCTGATGGTGGTTAATGAGGCAGATGCCTCTGAGTAAGAGACAAGACGAGGAAGAGAGGCAGTGGCTCGAGGCAGTGATACACGCAGCTTCTATCAAATAATGAGACACTGACACCACATTTAGCAGGTAGCCTTTTGTGATGATGCATCACATGCTGAACTCTACTTGAAAAGTGGTAAACACATCAATTTTTGCAGAAAACAAATACATGCAATTAGTAGATAAACTCTGCATGAACAGTTTCAGACTTTTCTAGACTGAAATATCTCATCTATTAGGTGAATAACTATACATTAAAATAAATAAAAATGAAAGTAAAAACATTCGTGGTCCCCAGAGGATGACTCCCACTGAATATGGTGATGCCCTGACTTTGTATCTAGTGCTGACGTGAGACCGACATTTTGGATTTTAGAGAATTTTCTCAACAACTGTTGGGTGAGCTGCTGTGACATTTGGAGCACATTTTCAAGAAGCAGGTCAAAGCTTTTGCTTATTCAGTAAAATATCTCTACTTCTACCTGGTGGGTTAGCATTAAATGTTATACAGGCATTCATGTTCCCCAGAGGATGAATTCTACTGACTGCTGTGATCCCCTGATGTTTCCTGTAGTGCCACCAAAAAATTTCTAAGTAAAATATTTTAACCAAGTTGGATTGCCATAAAATGTGGTACCTTTACATAACCTTTGTGATAAATTGTAATAATGTCAGTGATCCTCAGACCTTTAATGTGTCCATAACTGTACTTCATGACTGATTGCACAGTTGTGCTTAATGTTGTGTGCTAAAATTGCTACCATGAAAAACTAAGATATTGAATATTGCAAAGATTACACCTGTTAACATGTCAGCATTGTCACTATGACAGGTTAGCATCACAGTGTTAGCATTTAGCTCAAAGTGCCACTGAGAGTCAAAGAGCTACTAGCACGGACTTACTACTTACAGTATAAATGGTTGCCGACTTATAAATGGATGATTATGTAATGGCAGAGTTCTTTTTTTTTTTTTTACAGTTCTCTCAGCAGACAGCTGCAGTTTTACATCCAGAGATTTGTGATAAACTTTGATTTAATGTAAATGCTTTTTCATTTGCATTCATTCCCACAAAGCTTGGAATGTAGTTGTTCCAAATTGTGATAAAAAGGATCGATCATAGGGATCAAAAGGACACAGTTTAGGGCTGAATCCACATTGACTGATGGTAGACTGAGCAGTAGTAATTTTAACCCTAAAAGACACTCTTTTTATTGAGGAGGGCTGATCAAATTGAATCTTTCTGTCTCTGTGTCTCAGTGGGAGGCGATTGTGTGTTTTTGTCCCCAGATTAGGGTGGATATAGAGCTGGCTAATCCTGCTCGCTCTTCCATGTGGGAGTGGCAGTGGGGTGCCTTTGCTGTGCGACCAGCCGTAACCTAATGGCTGTGAGATTGGGTTTTATACACGTGCACGCTCACTCACACACAGTCGGCGACGCACAACACAAAGTCTAGATTTGTTTCAGGATTAAAGGCATCACCTCAGTGACTGACATAATGCCACAGGCATTCCCACGGTAACCCCGATGAGGTTGTCTGTATGTGTGTGTGTGAGTCTCTGTTTGCCCAGCATGTGTGTGTGTGTAGCTTGTTATTTCTAGATGCTGCTGATGAGAAATAAATTGAGAAAAGAAGCTGAGAGAGCACAGGAAAATGAGGAGAGGAATCTGGGCTCGCACACACACGCGGTTCTTTTTCATTCCTCCTGGGGACTTTACACTGACTTAGCCTAACCTTAACCATAACCATTACCTGCCTAACCTTCACCCTGACCTTATACCAAGTTGTCACGTAAAAGTTTTCATGGAAGGAACCAGACCAGACCAAACAAGAATCTGGTCCCCATAAGGCAGGCCCACAGTGTTAGTGTGTAAACAGGCTTCAATCCCCACAATATGGGTAATGCATGGCACACACACACCACTCAGGCCCACTAGAGAAGCAGCTGCCTAAGTTGGCAGCCCATGTCCCTCTCATTATTCCGGCCATTCGCTTGTGTCCTGGCTCTCTCCCCTCCCCTGCTGTTGCAGGACAGGTAGCATCTGACACACATTAGCCTGCTATTAATGACGTCTGCTGCAGCCATTATCACACACTTAGGGAGAAACATCCCCAGGGTGCCATTTTTGCTGTGACATACATTATATATCCAAAATAATAAAATTTTCTCCAAAGGTCTGCAAGCAAATTGTTCAGTGTTTTTGTAAAGTAAAACTTGGTTTCATTTCACTGAGAGCTTTTCCATTTTTATTAAGTTGTTATTCATTCTGTCACCATCATCTTCTCTGTTCTTCTTTGTCAGCTGTGTGTGTGGGGGTACTTCATGTTAAGCCCAGGACGTCTGTGGGCTGCTTTCAGAAGTGACTCTTAAGGAATGTGGGTGAGTGTAGCCCTCAGACCTCCCATATCACTATACACATGATCCCAAAGGGAACACCACTGTGATTAACATTAATCCTACGAGCCTGTGCGCAAACAACACAAATATCTCAACATCTCCAACAGGTCTTCACAATCTCATCTGTATTTCATACTCTTGTGAGCCAGAGATAAAACAAATCACAGGCACTGAGTTTCTGTTGAACCTGTAACATCTACTATGAGATAGATATACATGAAACCCATATTAGCCACTGATAGAACAGCTAATTAGTAATGATGAAAATAACTAACTAAATGTATAAAACTGACCTAATGAGAATAAAAGCAACTATGCTGTTGACAAAGAAACAGGCCAGGAAGTGCAGACCAATGAGCAATGCCAACAAGAGGGAATCATCTACTCCACTGCTTCAGTAATATTTAAGATGAGATGGGTGAGGGGTTGATTCTTTGGATTCTGTGCAGAGCAGGAGGCAAACAGGTCATTATCAGAGAATATCATTGACCCAGAGACATGGTACCACCAGAAATACCATTACTGGTGTTTAGATTGAAACTCACTTCACTCTCACTGTGTATGCATGCATGTGCTTCTCTGTGCTTTGTGCTTTCATCTAAGTCATCCAATTTCAATATTTAGGTGCATCTCCACAGCTCTGCAAACCTCTAGGTTTGATCAAGCTCTGCAAAAATCACTGGGCTGCATTTGCTTTACAATCCCTCATAAAGCATGTCAAGTTAGTGAAAGCGCCACAAGTAGAAGAGCCAGACTGAAAAGAGATGGGTAGAGGCAAAAGATGGCAGCACAGCAGCAGGGAAAGTTTTGTCCTTCATCAGCCCTCCATCCCCCTTTCATCTCATTAAGGATGGATAGATGATCAATAGGAGAGAAGCAGTAGAAGGGGATTAAGATTAGAAATCGATGGCTTTGTTTTCTTCAGCCTGCCAAAGATAAACACCGCCTTAAGACACTGACAACGTAACACATAGACTTTCACGGCTTTTCATCTATATGTGAGAGGGTATGGCATTCCCTCTGTGTGGACTGATAGACATCTGTTAGCAGCTTCTCACACTGAGTTAAAAAGAAACACTTGGACCCCTGCACGAGATTGGTAAAGGTGGGGGATGGGCACAGTCATCTTCCACAGTGAGATGCAACCAAGACTCTGCAGACATTTTTCAGACTTTTTGTTCAGTGCACTGCAGCTGCGGATTGTCGAAATGCTGAACTGTGTGTGGGAGATGTAGGTTATGTATCACAGAGAGTCACAGACCGACTCTGTAGTTCATATCAAATCACCATTTCAAGACTCTCTGAGAATAGCTGGAGATGACTGATGAGGAGCTAGCATCATAATAGGCTCACTGCAACGAGAAGTGATGCTCCTAAAAACCTGAGTGGGCTGGAAGGAGTGAGGCAAGGCATTCTGGGTAGGTGAGGCTTCCCCTCCCACACAGAGATTCAATAACATACCCCCTGCTTTGATCTCTCTGCTTTCTCTTTCTCCTCTTCCCTCTCTCTTCTTTTCACATGTACATACACACACTCTCTCTCTCCCTGTTTGTTGTGGCTTTCGCCCCTCTCTCCTTTGAAAGAACAAAGGCATTTGTTTGTTTCCTGCAGATGAAAGCGCAGCTTTGTGACAGCCCATTTCACCCCAGGTACAGATGTCGCAGCTTCATTATTATTCTTTAATTTTGGAACTATCTTATAATATGCAAACTTTAGAACTCTGTCTTTATGGTCATTTGTATTTATTGTTTATGTATTTTTCTTACAGCTTTTTTTCTATTTCCTTTTTTATGATAATCATGATAATAATGTTCCCATTCACAGGTGTCTGATGCCCAGACAGAGGAGCAGGCAGACAAAGATATTCATATCTATTATAGTCACTCCATCTGAAATTCATGAGATTGGACAGACAAGCAGAGCAGCTTCAAGTGGAGAGCAAGCAGACTCCACCCAGAAAGACCCGTGACACCTTTTTTTCCCCCTCAGAGCTTAAAGAATAAGACTGATTATATTTTATTGTCAACAAATCAATACTTTTATTACAACTGTAGCCCATCTCAGCCTTGGGCCTTTTCTATTATATCTACAGTACTGAAGAAGTCTGGCTACGGGAGATTTTAGCAAATGTCACTCAAACAGGAGCCGATGGTGCATTTGTTTGGGACAATTTTGTCCGGATTAATGCAGGTTTGGCAGATCTATTCATAAACTACAGTTCACATGTTTACCAAAATAAAGAAACCAGGGCAACAATGTGACTAACTCGTGTTTTTAATAGATTTGTGACAGAGGAATACGTTTTATCAGCCTTTGACTACACAAACAGCACTTATTAGGATTAATGCATTGTCGGTTTTGTTCTTATCATAAAATTTGCTGACAAAAATAAGAATTTAAAAAACTGAATATCACCAGCCTTATTCTTATTCTCTGCCTTAGTCAGTCAGTTACAGCACCGGACTAGTGAAGGAATACCCTCTGGGCTGAGAGTCAAGGAAAAGAAATTGAGAAGGCAGGAAAAGGAGCAAAAGGATTAGGTGTGTGTGTGTGTGTGTGTGTGTGTGTGTGTGTGTGTGTGTGTGTGTGTGTGTTCAGAGGTAGAAGGACAAAAGAAAAAAGCAAGGAGAGGGACATTTTCATTGCAGGACAATTTGCAGGTGGCTGCTGATCCTTGTCCTCCACACATTTCATCATGGCCCATCATGGCTGACTTGTCACCCTGAGTGACATTGGCAGCTCTGGCTTACACATGCAGTAACACACACACACACACACACACACACACAGGGTAAAGCATGTGTACCTGCACACACATGTAAACACACTGCACTCACAATAAGATCAATCTAATGGGGGGCCTTCACACAGTGAATGTTTTCTCTCATTTGATTGGAATTAATTGCAGAAATTTTACTATTACTATTTTACTGTTTTCCATTTTCAGCATGTGAGTGCATATAGACTGAGAGAGGCTGTATTGCTGCGATCTCAATGGGCTGTTTTGGTTAAAGCCATATTGATCCTTGTCTGTTTTATTTCTGTTCATTTTTAACACCAACGTCTGTGGAGATTTAAAAAAAAATCCTAGTCCCAGTAAAGCCATCAAAATTTCATATTGTTGTCTGTGTGCATTAAAATGTCAGTGTGATGTGGAGGGGTGAGGTATGAGGCCATAAAAAAGGATATTTACACTAATTATGGCATATATGCAGCTCATATACAGACATATGTCTTTGTGTAATCTCATTTTTAGAGTGCAACTAAGAATGATGAATTTCAAAGTAGCTCTATAGGAGTCCAGTGAAGACCGGGCAGGACTGAGAACTGTTTTCCTGAGACGTTGTGGTGCCATCTAGTGGGCTAATCATGCAGGTAGCATTTTCAACTAAAATGTAGTCTTTGCACCTGGTTTGTGAATCTGATCTTCTTCTTCTTTCTCACTGACTTGCAACCCCTGTTGCTAGATTGGTTTGTGGTTTGTGAATCTGATCTTTGTAGAAAAACTCCACCACAAACTATTTTTTACACAATATAATCTTAATTGTCTTTTACACAGTCATCAGCCACAAACACTGTTGCCTAAAAACGGGCCAGTTAACTTCATCAGATGCAAATAATACAGTAATATGTTACAGCAGTGTTTATTGCCACAGTCAGAAAGTTTAATTATGGTCAAATCTTGTGACAACATGTATCACCATGTATGGAAGAAGGAAGCTACTGTCTGTCCTTTTTCACTGAACTGTATAGAAAGCTGTAGTGTCATTAAAGACAGAAGATATGCATATTTCATTGTTTCATATTTCTCACACAGCCAGTATGCTTATAGCTGGTTCATACTGTCATGGCCTATAACATTTTCACAAATAGGCAGGACAAAACAATTTTTATATGTCTTCCAGTTACATATCATATACATACAAACACATGCACACACAGAAACATAAGGGCATGGCTTACATGCATGTGATTAAGAAGACGCAGGTTTTTTTGTTTGTTTGTTTGTTTGTTTTGGTTTTTTTTTTTACAATTTACAAAAGATAATTTAACTTTTCTTTAGCTCTCTTGATGCTCTAAAAAATGTGAATGTGTAAATGCATGGTTGCCATATTATTAGTCTTAACTCTGCTTCAAAGAGCTGGCATTTACCCAATAAAATATTTGTATGATTATATTTTTAAGCTCTTTTTAGTGATTACATGTGACTGAAATAGCGAAAAGATTTCTGAAAATGAATTCATCAATAAGGAATTTTGAACACAACCGTTCACTGTCAGATCGTTTTTTGTGGACCATCAAAAAATCAGTGGAAGAACACAACACTGTGCATACACAGCACACAGAACATTAACTGTGGTTGACCTCAGCTACATGCACACTGATACACAAATCTGACACTTCCCTAGAGTCCACATGCAGTTTGAGCAACCAGGATTAAACCTTTATAGCGTCCTGGTGACATTATTATAGAACTTCACGGTGTCTGTATATGGACACATTATCTCTGGCTCCACCCTTTACTGCTTCCACTGTCAATTACTGAAAGTGAAATAGAACAGGAGAGAAACAGGTTATTAATATGAGGGGTGTTAATAAGAGCATAGCAAACAAATATAATACATGCATCTCTGTGCTGTGAATTAACTATAAATCATGCATGAACTATGCACTTACTGTTTCACTCTCTCCCTCTGAGCCCCTTGTAGACTCTGAGCCATAGTGCAGAGGAGAGTACACGCAGCTCCGATGCTCCTGAGTCTGCACAGTCAGAA